AATTCTTTTCTTTCTTAATTTCTCCTTTGACCCATTCATCATTCAGGGGTCTGTTGTTTAATCTCCATGTGTTCATGTAGTTACTACGGTTTCTTCTGGTGTTGATTTTAAGCTTTATTGCATTGTGGTCTGATTGAATGCATGGATTTCAGTCTTTTTGTATTTGTTGAGGTTTGTTTTGTGCCCCAGTATATGGTCAATTTTGGAGAAAGTTCCATGAGGCGCGGAATAGAAAGTATATTCTTTGGTGCTTGGGTAGAATATTTGGTAGATGTCTATTAGGCCCATTTGATATATGGTATTGTTTAATTCAGATGTCTCTGTTAATTCTCTGCCCTGTTGACCTATGTAATGGAGACAGCGGGGTACTGAAGTCCCCTACTATTAATGAGTTGTGATTAATCTGGGTCTTAAAGTCCTGTAGTATTGTTTTAATGAAGTTGGGTGCACCAGAGTTGTGAATATATGTTCATGATTGTAATAACATCTTGGTTTATTGTTCCTTTGATCAGAATGAAGTGGCCCTCTTTATCTCTTCTGATTAGTTTTAGTTTAAAGTCTATTTTGTCAGGTATTAGAATTGCAATGCCTGCTTTTTTCTTAGTACCATTCACTTGGTATATTTTTTTTCCATCCTTTCACCTTAAGGTAGTGCCTGTCCTTGAAAGTGAGGTGAGTTTCTTGCAGACAACAAAATGATGGGTTTTGTTTCTTCATCCATTCACCTAGTCTGTGTCTTTTGACTGGGGAGTTCAGTCCATTGATATTTAAAGTTATTAATGAAAGATTTGCATGGAATCTTGTCATTTTTATTTCTGTTCACATTTTTGATATAGTTGTACTTTCCACAGTTATACCTTCATTGAATTTCTTTCTGCAACCCCTTGGGTATAGTCATTTCTTTCTTCAGCTCTTTGTATTGCTTCCAGAACTCTCTGAAGGGCTGGTTTTGCGGACAAGAATTCCTTCAGCCTATTTATGTCATGGAAGATTTTTCTTTCCTCTTCAACTATAATAGACATTTTGGCTGGATATAGTAATCTGAGTTGGCATCTGTAGTCATTTAACACTGGGAATACTTTGGTCCAGGCTCTTCTGGCTTCCATAGTTTGCATTGAAAACTCAGCTGTGCTCCTAATGGGTTTTCCTTTATGTGTGACTTGTTGTTTCTCTTGTGCAGCTTTCAGAATTTTCTCTTTGTTTTGTGTGTGTACTGTTTTTACTACGATGTGCCATGGAGAGTTTCTGTTCTGGTCCTGTCTGTTTGGTGTTCTGTATGCTTCTTGTATTTGTATGGGCATGTCTTTCTTTAAGTTTGGGAAATTTTCTTCCACAATTCTGTTGAAGATCTGGTCCATGCCATTGTCTTGGGGTTCTTCTCGTTCCTGTATGCCTATGATTCACAAGTTTGGTCTTTTTATGGTATCACTCAATTCCTGCATATTCCATTCTTGTGATTTCTTAAATTTTTCATAATCTTTGCTTGAGTGGTCCAGTTCGTCCTCTTTATCTTCCAGTCTTGATATTCTGTTTTCTATTTCATTCATCCTATTAGTGAGGCTTTCATCTGTCATTTCTAATTGGCTTACTGAGTGTTTCACTTCCTTTGGTATTTGGTGGCAATATGGCATTTTGGTTTTTCATGTTATTTTTTCTCTGTGATTTTGACATGTGAATTTCTTTTGTCGTTTCTGATTCTTGTGTGAGATTCAAGCCTTCAAGTTTAGGTCTGTTTCTTTTTGTAAACTTTATGTGCCTTTGTGGTTTACTTTTGGGGCATGAAAAGCTGGTTTCTCTAAGGCTCCATTTCTGTCTTTTGATTTTATATTGGAGTGGCCAAATTGCTTTTGTCTTCAGGAGTTCTCACAGAGGCCCAAGTCAGATGAGGATCAGATACTCCCCTAAGGTCTGGATCCCTCCAGGAAAGATGTTGTCCTCAGGAATTTGGGGGTTGGACTGGCCTGAGAGCAGGGCCCAGGAAAGATGGTGGTCTTGAACAGCTGATGGCCATGCCACCCAGGAATATAAAGGGAGGTGGGGGTAGGAAGAGGCCCCAAGGGCTCCTGGGGACTGCAGGGAGGAACTGGGTTGGTCTGGATGCAAAAGATCAGGAAGCAGTGGTGGCTCCAAGCAGAGAGGTCAGCCCTGGTGTCTGGGGTGCCAAGACAAGGAATGGGACAGTATCCAGGCTAGGAGGAGAGATGGGTGGGGGAGGTGGGAGGGTGAATAAGGCTGGGGAAGTCAAGGCATGGAGGGCACCGATGGACTTACCCAGGAGAGAAGCTGGTGGGTCGTCCCATTCTTTTTTTTTTAATTAAAAAATTTTGATCAATTTTTAAAAAATATTATTTTTACTTTATGTGTATGAGTGTATTGTCTGCATGTATGTAAGTGCATCTGTTTTGTGCAATGCCCTCAGAAGTCAGAAGAGGGTATTGGATTCCCCTGGAACTGGAATTATGGATGATTATTAGCTGCCATGTGGGTCTGGGAATCAAACCCAAGTCCTCTCTGTGTCAAGTAACACCTAAGGAGGTCCAAAGAGGGAATCAGATCCCCTGGAACTAGAGTTACAGATGGTTGTTAGCTACCATGTAGGTGCTGGGAACTGAACCTAGGTCCTCTGCAAGAGCAGACAGTGCTCTTAACTACTGTGTTTTGTCTCCATGTATATAAGTGTGCCACGGGTGGGGGGGTGCCCGAGGAGGTCAGGAGAGGTGTCTGATTCCTTGGAACTGGAGTTACAGACAGTTGTGAGCTGCTATGTGGGCATGTGGGTGCTGGGAACTGAATGAACCTGGGTCCTCTGCAAGAGCAGCCAGTGCTTCTAATTGCTGAGCCATCTCGCCAGCCTGTCCACCTTAGTTTTTGAGACAAGGTCTCTCAGTAAGCCTGGCTCACTGAATAGGCCAGACTGTCCCCGAGCCCTCCTCCTGCCCAGTTCCCTGGTGACCCACCTGATCTCTTCCTACAGCTGGCTGGACAAATCCTTCACCCTCATCATCTTCTCTAACGGGAAGCTGGGCCTCAGCGTGGAGCACTCGTGGGCCGACTGCCCCATCTCAGGACACATGTGGGAGGTATGCCCCCAAGGTTGGGCACCCTGTCTAAAGATGACCCCCAAGGGCCTTAGGACAGAGACAGATAGGCTGAGAGACAGGCAGGGAAGAGCCCAGCAAAGATGGAGGTCTGCCCTGGTGGCCTTCTGTGATGAGTGGGTCATGGGGCTCAGAGAAGGGAAGTGACATCCCAGGGTCATACAGCAGGAAAGTATAGTGTGGGGCTCAGAGCATGTGGCACCAGAAAGAGAGAGAGAGAGAGAGAGAGAGAGAGAGAGAGAGAGAGAGAAGAGTAGACAGTGACAGACAGACAGGAATAGACATAAAGAGACACAGAGATAGACCATACAGAGAAAGGGACAGAGAGACAAAGAGACAGAGACTGGTCTTTTCACCATGGCACAGGGAGGCTGAGGGACCATTTTCCAGCTTTTGTCTGCTGTGTGACCTCAGGCAAGTTGCTTGCCCTCTCTAAGTACCAGCTTCCCCCTGTGCCAATGGTAAGGTTAGAGTTTCTTTGATCCTAAGCTTCTGGTCAGCCAGGACGATCTTCACATCTGTATCACTCTAGACTCTAAGTCACAGGGAGAGGCTGGCCAGTCCCTACACTAGCTCCTCTGTGGTTCTCCAGCCCGTGGTATGTTGGGGAGGAGTGGGGGCCTCCTTTCTAGACCCTGGGAACTATCTCCATATGGTCTGTTTCCGTCTCATTACAAAGTGGCAGTCCTTTCCTTTCATATTTTTCTTTTTCTTTTTCTTTTTTTTTCTCTTTCTTTGGTCTTTTGAGACAGGGTCTCCCTGTAGCTCCAGCTGTCCTATATTCTCTATGGAGACCAGGCTGGCCTCAAACTCACAGAGATCCGCCTGCCTTCATCTCCCTAGTGCTGGGATTACAGGCGTGTGGCACCACACCCGGCCGCCCTTCATATGCTCAACCCAGTTTAACCTCAGAATCTTCACAGTATCTCACAGCAGTCAATCATCTCTGTGAGGGTAAAAGAGAGGGGTGGCGAGATGGCTCAGTGGGTAGAGGAGCTTGCCACCAAGGCAGATGACCAGAGAGTTCAATCCTCAGGACCCACATGGTGGAAGGAGAAAACCAACTCCAACAAGTTGTCCTCTGACCTCCTAATCACACACCACACATATAAACTAAGTAAATAAACTTGTGGGGGTCAGGGTTGGGGCTCAGTTAATTAGGAGAGTGCTTGTGAAGTCTAAGCCCTGGGCTCCATCCCCAGCACCACATTAAGATGAGCCTGTTGGTGCACATCTGTAATCCCAGCACTCAGGAGATAGGATCAGAAGTTCAAAGTGATCATCTACACAGTGAGTTCGAGGTCAGCCTGTACTACATGAGATCCTGTCTGAAAACTAAACAAAAATGACTCTTCCATCATTGTAGGGCAGTTCTGAGAAGTGGAAACATGAATAGCAAGGGCTCAAGGTCAGTGCTGACTTAGAGTAGCCCACACCAGCAGGCTGTGGCCAGCACTCAGCTCACCCTGTGCCCCACAGCTCTACCCCTTCCATCCTGGATCACGATGGCAAGGTCCCAAGGCCTCACAACATGCTAGGCCAGGGCTCTACCACTGAGCCACACCCCAACCCCTCACTGGGGATTCTACGCAGGGGCTCCACCACTGAGCCACACCTCAGCCCCTCACTGGGGATTCTAGGCAGGGGCTCTACCACTGAGCCATATCCCAGCCCCTCACTGGGGGATCCTAGGCAGAGGCTCTACCATTGAGCCAAGCCCCAGCCCCCCTGGGAGGTTTCTACAGGCCTGTGACACTACTCTGGGATACTTTGCTTTTTGGTGATACTGGGATTGAACTAAGGCCTTGTGCTTGCTCTACCACTGAGCACTATCTCTTCTAGACCATCCCATGCCCCTTGTCAGAACATCAGTCCTGTCTGCTGTAGATAAATCCAGAAGCCCACCATGAAGCCCAGAGGTTTCCAGGTCTCAGGGACATCTCCTCTAGAGTCTGAGGAAAGATGCCCCTGGGTGGCATCAGTCCAGAGGGAGTAATGACTAATGACTCTGTCCACAGTTCACCCTGGCCACAGAATGCTTCCACCTGGGGTACGCAGCGGACGGCCACTGCAAAGGGCATCCTGACCCCACACTGCCGCATCCCCAGCGCCTGCAGTGGGACCTTACAGAACAGGTGGGGCTGGGTTTCTGGGCCTCCCTCCAAACCCCTGGTCTTCATCCTGAACTCCTTACCCCAACTCTCATATCACACCAAATATACTAACTGCCTTAAGCCCCACCCTGGCCCCAACTCTAATTCCACCCCAAAAGTCTAACGCTGTCCCCACCACCCATTCCATCATGAACCCCAACCCTAGCCCTTCCTTCAACTCATCTCCCTTCCCACTATCTCCCTCAGATCAAAAGTCATGCCTAGGGTTGGAGAGATGGCTCATTGGCTGAAAACGTGCACTGTTATTTCAGGGGACTTGAGTTCAAATCTCAGCACTTTGTCCAGCAGCTCACAACCACCTGTAATTCCGGTTCCAGGGAATCTGACACCCTCTGCCAGCCTCTGCAGGCACCTGAACTCATGTGCACATACCCCCATACACACACACACACACACACACACACACACACACACACACAAAGACATAATTAAAAAAAAAAATATTTTTTTGAGACAGAAACTCAGTAGAGATTAAAAAAATAAATCTTTTTTTGAGACAGGAGCTCAGTAGAACTCACTATTGAGACCAGGCTGACCTCCAACTCATAGAGATCTACCTACCTCTGACTCCTGAGTGCTGGGATTAAAGGCATAAACCAGCATACCTGGCCTAAAAAATAATATAAATATTATTTTTAAAAAATATTTAACTTCTCTTACTTAGAATAACACATCTGGTTTATACTCTGGGAACTACAAGCATCTTTACCAAGAACCAGATCCACCAGCAATGTTTACTGAACAGCAGACATTACAGGGTACTTATTTTCTGTTTGGATTGGATGAAAGGTTCTAATATAAATGTGATTAGTTCACTTAACCCTTTTGACAACTCTGTAGAAGAAACTTAAAGCTCACTTTTTTTTGTTTGTTTGTTTTTTATTATTTTGTGACAGGGTCTCCCTGTAGCCCCAGCAGGCCTAGAACTCGCTATGTAGACCAGACCGGCTTCAAACTTACAGAGATCCACCTGCCTCTGCCTCCCAAGTGCTGGGACTAAAGGCATGTACCACCATGCCCAGCTATAAATCTTTTTTTTAATTTATCATTTTAAAAAATGTATTTATTTTTATTTTATGTGTACAAGTGTATTGCCTGCATGTGCATAAGTGCACCTGTGTTGTGCAGTGCCTGTGGAGGTCAGAAGGCGTTGGATCCCCTGGAACTGGAGTTATAGATGGTTATTAGCTGCCATGTGGGTGCTGGGATTCAAACCCAGGTCCTCTGCAAGAGCAACCAGTGCTCTGAACCATTGAACCATCTCTCCAGCTCTCAAAATAAATCTTTAAAAATACTAAAAAAAAAAAAAAAAAAAAAAAAAAGGCAGGACTGTCCTCAATCACAGCCCCTCCCTGAACTTCAGACTCCAAATCCAGCAGCAAGCCTGGTCCCTTCCCACCTTCTCCAACACCCATCTCTGTCTTTCATCACCAGCCCCACCCTATTCCATTGCTGGCAGCCCTGCCAGGGTCTTAACCTCCTCCTTTCATCCCCTCCCATGTCCCACCCAACCCGATCACATTCCCGTTGGCTCTGACCCCGCCTCCCTTCTGTCCACTTCCTTCCCTGGCAGATCCATCAGTCTGTCTCTCTGGCTCTGCGGGGAGCCAAGACCTTGTCTGGTGACACCGACTGCCATGTCCTCCCCTTTTCCCACTTTGGCAAGAGTTTCATCAAACGCTGCCTCGTCTCTTCAGACAGCTTCATTCAGATGGTCCTTCAGCTAGCCCACTTCCGGGTCAGTCGGGGTCCCCAGTGCCCACTCCCCTCAGGTCTTCAATACCTCTGAGCCTCCAATACCTATCTCTTCAGCCACCTCTTTAATGCCTCTTGGTCATTGTGATTGGGAGTCAGACATCTTGTGGTTCAGCCATCTTTTGGGTCAGCCATCTTGTTATGGGTCAGCCGTATTGTGAGTCAGCCATCTTTTTGGGAGTCTACCATCATAGCTGACAGGCTCTTCTCCTCCTTTTCCCCAGGACAGGGGTCAATTCTGCCTGACTTATGAGTCAGCCATGACTCGACTGTTCCTGGAGGGCCGGACAGAGACCGTGCGGTCTTGCACAAGAGAGGCATGCCACTTTGTGAGAGCCATGGAAGACAAGAAGACAGTGGGTGTGGGCCTCGACCAGGCCTCTGTCTTTGTGCTCACATTTGCAGATATTTGTGGCCAGGATCTGGGATGGGTGTCTGTGACAAGCAACAAACCAGCCCTGGTCACAGGCTTCAAAGAGCCCCTGATGAGGGGTTGAGATAGACCAGGAGGGTGTGCTCTGGGTTTTAATGGGGGGGGGGGTGACGACATGCGGTATGGGAGGGGCACTTGATGCTACTCTCTAGCAGCTCCCCTCGCTTATTTAGCCATCGTGAGACTCTGACCTCCATCTACAACATACCTCAAGTTGTTCTAACCTCTGCTCAAAACCCACCACCCACCCCTGTTCCCAACCCCTTCTTCCCTTACCTGAGAGACTGTGGCTCAATGGCTTAAAGGTCTTAGAGTCAGCCACATATGGTCCTGACTGTGTGACCCTCAACAAAAGGCTTCCCCTCTCTGAGCTCATTTCCCCTCTATAGTGGGGTGGCTAGACCTGCCCTGCAGGCATTTTGGAAGTTAGCTTAAGGCCAGGTGTGCTCCAGGTCTCTGTGGTAAACCCACTTCCTGTCTTCCCATGACCTGTGACTACCCTGGGGGATCCAGGACCAGCAGTGCCTTGCCCTGTTCCGGATGGCTGTGGACAAGCACCAGGCTCTCCTGAAGGCAGCGATGAGTGGGCAGGGGATCGATCGCCACCTCTTCGCACTCTACATTGTGTCCCGATTTCTCCACCTGCAGTCGCCTTTCCTGACCCAGGTTGGGGTACAGGGAAAGGGTTAAAGTGAAAAGTGGAACCCATGGGAGAAGGGAGGGACTTAAGGACAAGGAGGGTGATGTTGGAAGAGGACAGAAAGGCCAGAGAGAGAGGGCATAGGGCTGAATATGGCTCAGCGGTGGAGCCCCTGCCTAGGATCCCCAGTGAGGGGCTGGGGTGTGGCTCAGTGGTGGAGCCCCTGCCTAGGATCCCCAGTGAGGGGCTGGGGTGTGGCTCAGAGGTAGAGCCCCTGTGTAGACTCCCCCAGTGAGTGGCTCAGTGGTGGAGCCCCTCTTTAACAGTGTTGATCCTGGAATAAATCCCCAAGGGGCTGGGTCAGAGGTAGAGCCCCTGTGTAGACTCCCCCAGTGAGTGGCTCAGTGGTGGAGCCCCTCTTTAACAGTGTTGATCCTGGAATAAATCCCCAGCATAGTAAAAGGAAGGAAGGGATGGAGGAAAAAGAAAGAACAGAGTAGAAAAGGCAGGAAGGAAGGGGAGGGTGTCAGGGAGGAGGGTGTGGGGGGGAAGGGTGTCGGGGAGGAGGGTCTGTCTGTGGTCAGGGACAGCACCGGGTCAGAGGCTGCAAAGACATGAAGGGAGCTAGGTCAGCAGCCTGCAGGTGGGTCGGTCTGTTTCCTGTACATGGAATTGTCTGCTGCCTTCAGGTCCAGTCCCAGCAGTGGCTACTGTCCGCCAGCCAGATCCCTGTGCAACAGACGCACCTGTTTGACATCCATAATTATCCAGATTATGTTTCCTCGGGAGGTGGATTTGGGCCCGTGAGTGAGCTGGGGTCATGAGGGAAGAAGGGATGGGGACTCCTGTCCTTCAGGGCAAAGGGCCTGGGATACTGGTCTGCTTCTCTCTCCAGGCTGATGACCACGGGTATGGCATCTCCTACATCTTCATGGGGGAAGACATGATCACCTTCCACATCTCCAGCAAGAAGTCAAGCAGAAAAACAGTGAGAAAAACTCAAAGACCTCCCCTCCTCGCCCTTCCTACCTAAGTGTCAGGATCGAGTTCTAAACCTGCCTCCTTCAGACCCAGGGATCCAGACCCCAGCCTCCTCCCTCAGACCCAGGGGTCCAGACCCCAGCTTCCTCCGGCAGACCCAGGGGTGCAGACCCACAACCTCCTCCCTCAGATCCAGGGGTCCAGACCCCAGCTTCCTCTGGCAGACCCAGGGGTGCAGGCCCCAGCCCTCCTCCCTCAGACCCAGAGTCCAGACCCCCAGCCTCCTCCCTCAGACCCAGGGGTGCAGACCCCCAGCCTCCTCCCTCAGACCCAGAGTCCAGACCCCCAGGCTCCTCCCTCAGACCCAGGGGTGCAGACTCCCAGCCTCCTCCCTCAGACCCAGGGGTGCAGGCCCCAGCTTCCTCCGGCAGACCCAGGGGTGCAGACCCCAGCCCTCCTCCCTCAGACCCAGAGTCCAGACCCCCAGCCTCCTCCCTCAGACCCAGAGTCCAGATCCCCAGCCTCCTCCCTCAGACCCAGGGGTGCAGATCCCCAGCCTCCTCCCTCAGACCCACAGTTGAGCCCCTCATACTCCACCCCAGTCCTCCCCAGCTCCTGGTCTCCTCCTCTGTAGGACTCTCACCGGCTGGGGCAGCACATCAAGGATGCCCTGCTGGACGTGGCCTCTCTGTTCCAGGCTGGGCAGCATCTCAAGCACCAGTTCAGGAGCCTGGGGGAGGAGGACTCGGGGCACAGTCATGGATCATCTCTCTCCAGTGATACTGTGGGCTCCAAGGCCTCCCCCAACTTCTGAACCCTCTGGAGGGAGCTGGTCTCCCTCAGGAAGTGGGGCACCATCCTCAGAGCTGGGCTGCTGTAGGAGAACAAAGCAGCCCCACACTGGGCAATAAAGCTGTGTGAGCTGGGCATGGCGTCTGCTGTGCGAATGTGCAGGGCAGGGAGGGTCATGATACCTGGTTTACCTCAGGCCCCAGAATTAATTCCAAGTTGTCCTCACAACTTTAACCATAACCTGAACCCCTTTCTGAGCTCCAGGGCCAACTGGGATCAATCAAACCTTCGCCCTCCTGTGAGCCCAATTCCTGCCACCCCAACGCCTAAGGCCCATCAGCCCATGTCCAAACCCAGTGTCTAAACAGCAAGTCTTTTCTGTGGAGATGAGAGGTTGCAATAGGGTTTCATGTAGCCCAGGCTGGCCTGAAACTTGCTATGTAGCAGAGACTGGCTTTGATCTGTACTTTCTGTCTGACCAGGTGGTAGGTTGGCAGGTGTGTCCCACCACACACAGCTGTTGAAAAGCAAGTCAGAGGTAGGAGAATGATGAGTTCCAGGCTAGCCTGGGCTATACAACAAGGCCCAGTCTCCAAAAACCAAACCAAGGAGGCTACAAACAGGTCTCAGCAGTTAAGAACATTTGCTGTTCTTCACTGGACTTGGGTTCAGTTTCCAGCACCCACATCATGGCTAACGACCATCCATAATTCCAGTTCCAGTGGATCTGACGCTCTCTTCTGGCCTTTTTGGGTACTGCATACACATGGTGCAAATATGTATATACATATGCAACATACGCATTCTTCTGGCCTCCACAGATATTGTACAACACAGGTGTACTTACATACAGGAAATGCACTCATTCTCATAAATATTTCTTTTTTTTTCTGTTTTGTTTTTTTTTGGTCTTTTTGAGACAGGGTCTCCCTGTAGCCCCAGCTGCCCTGGAACTCACTATGTAGACCAGGCCGGCCTTTGAACTCACAGAGATCCGCCTGCTTCTGCCTCCTGAGTGCTGGGACTAAATGTGTGCACCACCACACCTGGCACATAAATATTTCTTTAAAATGGTTGGGCGGGGAAGGAAAACAAAAAGCGAAGGGAGGCGACTTGGCACCTCGGGTCTGACAGCAGCTGGTGTTTCACTTCTGGAATGGGTGTCGGGACACTCTGTTCCCTCCCTGCCAGTCGCTCTGTGGCGATTTTCATTTGCATCTTGCTGCCACTGGCTGCTTCATTGTCTCTACTACTGTTACTCATTCCACACCCCACTCTACTAATGATAAAGATCAATAATATGGCCCAGTGCAGTGGAGCTCACCTGGAATTCCCAGGACTTGGGAAGTGAAGGCAGCGGATCAGGACTTGAAGGCCAGCCTCAGCTACTTCATAGTGCGTTCAAAGGCAGCCTGGGCCACATGACACCCTGTCTTAGCAAAACGGAACAAAGTAGGCAGACCACTTAGAAGTCTTTTTAAGGGACCATCATGTTGCAGGGGGCAGCACAGGAGGGCGTCTCCTGGGTGACCCACAAAGTGAGCTATACAATTTACTTTTAGAGTCAGAAAGGCACGTGTCAAATATGTTTGCATCCATCACAGTCTTCTGCTTGACTACCGGCAGAAGAGCTCCCTCCCTGATCTAGTGAAAAATGACTACAAGAGATCACTGTGCTGTGAGGGCAAAAAGGTTCAGCAGTCCAGTAGGAAACAGTTGGGGTGTGTCTTCGGGGCTTAGGAAGCAAGCCACTGTGGTTGCAGGACATCTCATGGCGTCTACGGAGTGTGTAAATGGAGCTGCTAGCTAACGTGTCAAGAAACCTCCCCATGAAAGGATCAAAAACTTAATTAGGGGCTGGAGAGTTGGCTCAGAGGTTAAGAATCCTGCTCATGCAGAGGATCCAAGTTCAGTTCCCAGCACCCACATGGCAATTCATAACCACCTGTAACTCCAGCTCTAGGGGAACCCGATGCCCTGGTCTAGCCTGTATCAGTACTGCACTCACACAATTCACAGACACACACAAACATAAATAAAAATGAATCTTTAAATAAACATGTTAATTAGGAAATCAAACCGACCCAGTCCCCAACATCTTACTATACTTCAAGGAAAAATAAGTACAAAGTGAGCTCGCCGGGCGTGGTGGCGCACACCTTTAATCCCAGCACTCGGGAGGCAGAGGCAGGCGGATCTCTGTGAGTTCAAGGCCAGCCTGGTCTACATAGTGAGTTCCAGGACAGCTGGGGCTACAGGGAGACCCTGTCTCAAAAAGACAAAAAAAAAAAAAGCATGCTCATGTTTATGTCCTGTCAACATTAGCAGGGATCTTACCACCACACCCAGCAGTAACAGTAACAGGGCTTTACTCTCCACCAAACACCTCTGGGAAGAAGCGTCTTTTTTTCACCTGTATCATGTGCAAAGTAGAGTGGGGGACTTAACCTTGTGAAGGCTGTTCCACAAGGAACCTTGAGCAACTGAGGACCAGCCAAACTCCAGGGTGTCCTGTCATACAGCCTCAGGGTCATGACCCCTCCCTCCTGCCCCCTTTTGTCTTTTTCTACAGGATCTCATGTGACCCCAGTTGGCTTGGAACTCTATTTCTGTTTGTGCTGGATAGCTTCAGTTGTCAACTTGACACACCTGGGTGGCAAGACCCTCAATTGAGGAATTTCCTCCATTGGACTGACCTGTGGCCATGTCTGTGGGGCATTTTCTTGATTGTTGATGATGTGAGAGGGTCCAGCCTACTGTGGGTGGTGTCACCCCTGGGCAGATGGTTCTGTATTGTATAAGAAAGCAGGTTGAGGGGGCTGGAGAAATGGTTCAGCAGTTAAGAACATTGACTGCTCTTGCAGAGGACCCAGGTTCGATTCCCAGCACCCACATGGCAGCTACAAACCATCCTTAACTCCAATTCCAGGGGAATCCAAAGCCCTCTTCTGATCTCCTTGGCATTGCACAGCACAGGTGTGCTCACATACAGGCAGGCAATACACTCATATGCATAAAATAAAAATAATAAATAAATTAATTTTAAAAAAAGGTTGAGCACGGGCCAGGGGAGCAAGCCAATAGGCAGCATTCCTCCATGACCTGTGCTTCAGCTCCTGCCTCCAGGTTCCTGCCCTGAGTTCCTACCTTGGGCTCTCTGATGAACTACGACCTAGAAGATGTAAGCTGAATAAACCCTTTCCTCCCCAAGATGGTAGTGGTCAGAGTGTTTTGTCACAGCAACCAAAGGTGAACTAGAATACTGTTCTGGTTTAATTTCTGTTGCTGTGATAAAATGCCCTTACAGAAAGCAACTTAGCAGAGAAAGGGTTTATTTCAGGTCACAGTTCCAAGTCACAATCTGTTACTGATGAGGAGTCAAGGTATAAACTTAAAGCAGCTATCCACATCTACACCCACAGTTAAAAGCTCAGCAGCCTGGAGAGATTGCTCAGTAGTTAGAGCACTGGCTGCTCCTGCAGAGGACCGGGGTTCAGTTCCCAGCACCCAAATGCTGAGAACCATCCACAACTCCAGTTCCAGGGGATCTGACACCCTCTTCTGACCTCCGTGGGCACTGTACTCATGTGATGCACTTACATACATGCAGGCAAACATAAAATAATTTTTCAGAATTAAAAAAGCAGAAATAAATGCAGCCTTGCTTACTGCTCAGCTCACCTTCTCTAGTCCATGGAGTCCAGGACCCCAAACCAAGGAATGGTAGCACCTACTTCCAGGCTGGGTCGTCCCACCTCAATGACCACAAACAAGACCATCCCCCTCAGACATGTCCACAGGAAATCCCAATCTGGACAATCCCCAATTAAGATGCTCCTCCCAGATGATTCTAGATTGTGATGCATTAGCCCGTTAAAGTTAACCACCAGCGAGATGACTCAGCATGTAAAGGTACCTGCTGCCAAACCCAACAACCTGAGTTCCGTCCCCATAACCCACATGGTGGAAAGAGAAAACTCCCATAAGCTGTTTTCTGACCTCTACATGTGTGCCATAGTATGCACACACATACACAGATGGGTGTGTACAGGCACAGACAAAATAAGTGTAATTTTAAGATCCATAAACTGGGTGTGGTGATGCACGCCTTTAATCCCAGCATTTTAATCCCTGGCAGGTAGATCTCTGTGAGTAAAGGCCAGTCTGATCTACATCATGAGTTCGAGGTCAGCTGGGGCTACAGGGAGACCCTCTCTCAAAAAGACCAAAAAGAAAAGATTCATATTAAGAAAACACAAACAAGGCTGGAGAGACGGCTCAGTGGTTAAGAGCAGCGGCCTGTGCGTGGGAGAGTGTTGTGCCCAGTTCGTGAGACCCCAAAGACCACCAAGGAGCTAAACCGATGCAAACACACAAGGGCTCTTTTATTATTGCAAGCTTAAGCTTGGGTCCACTCTGTCACCGACTCAGCGGATCTCAAACGTGAGACCCCTTGCTTTGGGAGACAGAGATTTTCAGCAAGTTCAGCAAGCAGGGGAGTAGGAGGTCTTCAGCCTGGCAAGCCTCTGATTGGTTGCAGCTCAGTACCAAACCATAAACTGCTGGTTTCAGGAAATCTGAAAAGATCTGGACGTTAAGTACCTTCCTGTCCCTGGTTAACTGACCGTTGGTGGGGGAGTTGTTCTCTATCCGTTCCAATTATTGCAGTTTTTCTTGGAACAGGGCCCAGGGCTGGGTCAGTCCTATGGAGGTTTTATCCAAGATGGAGTCACTCAGGTCTCTCAAGAGGAGTGGCGAAGACCACTGACCTGACAACTCCACGGGGGACAGCAGTTTATTTGATAGCAAACAGACCACTGGGCTGCCTCTCTGGGAGCAGAGAGACAGCAGCCAGCAGTCAGACATCTTTTATAGGCAGTTAGGTGGTTGGGTAAGTTTCCATGATGTAGGCTGGGCAGTTTAGCTCAGGACTGGTTAGTCTGTAACTCCAGTTCTAGGAGATCAGGCACTCCTCTTCTGGCTTCTGTGGGCATTGCATGATACAGTGCACTTATACACATGCAGGCAATACACTCATACACATAGAAGAATAAATTTTTTTTTTGGTCTTTTTGAGACAGGGTCTCCCTGTAGCCCCAGCTGTCCTGGAACTCACTATGTAGACCAGGCTGGCCTT